GTGGGGAAAAGAGAGGGCGTGGGGAGGGGAGAGGAGAGTGGTGGGGAAAGATAGGGGGAGAAAGAGAGGGGTGGTAGGGGGTGGGGGAGGGAGAGGGCGTGGGGAACGGGGAGATAGGGGTGGGGGGGAAAGAGAGGGGTGGTAGGGGGGGCAGGGAGATAGGGGGGGAAGAAAGGGGTGGTAGGGGGGGCGGGGGAAGGGGAGGGATGGAGATGGGAAGGAAGGGGAGGGAGGGAATAGGACGGAAGAGGAGGGAAGAGGAAGGGGTGGAGTAGGAGAAGGGAAAGGTATATAGGAGGAGGAAGTAGAAGGGAGTAAAGAAGAGGGAAAGAGGGGGGGAGAAGAAGGAAAAAGAAGGAGGAGAGAAGAGGCGGGGGGTGGGGGTGTTACGAACGAAGAGAAAAAGAGAGAAAAGGTATGTCTGGAAAAAAAGGAAAATGAGAAAGGGGAAGGAAAAAAGGGAGAGGTAAAGAGGGAGGAGAGGAATCAGTTAAGAGGAAAGGAAAGACGGAGAAAACGAGGAGGAGGGAAGGGGGGGGGGTGTCACGGGACCGCTTTTGACAGGTATGTCTTTATGATATGAGAAGCCGAGGACAATGGCATGGAGGCGAGAGAGAGAGAGAGAGAGAGAGAGAGAGAGAGAGAGAGAGAGAGAGAGAGAGAGAGAGAGAGAGAGAGAGAGAGAGAGAGAGAGATTGATAGATAGGTAGAAAGAAAGAGAGAAAGAGAAAGAGAGAGAGAGAAGATAGATAGATAGATAGAGAATATAGATAGAGAGAGAGAATATAGATAGGCAGATAGATAGATAAGAGAGACAAACCGACAGACAGAGGAAGAAAGATAGAAAAAAAATACTAAAAGCGACAAAGAAAAAACAAACAAATAAATCCCATTACTGACGGAGAGCGCATAAGCAAGAGACCGAAACAAAAGAGAAAGAGAAAGAGCGAGAAAAAATTAGCACTTTCCCCTAAAATAAACACCACTTCCAGCAAGGGAATCAGGGGAAAACGCAAAACCGTTAAGGAAGTCACCCAACCAAAATCAATTCGCGCAGCTGTACGCGAATTCGAGGGGAAAAGAGTTCGGGAAACATTTTCGCGTCCGCCAAATATTATATTCGGGTCACGCAACCGACAGCATAAAGATGGAAAAAAGAAGAATTAGAAAGTAATGAAAAGAAGATTTAGAAGATAATGAAAGAGAATAAAAGGAGGGATGTTCTCCCGATATTCTCATGTCATTTGCTTATAATAACATGAAAACGAGAAAGAAAATGCAGGAAGAGTGGGAAAGGGGGCGATTTGTCCGTATGCCGGCCGTGCGGAAAGAACAGAGGGAGAGAAATAGACAAAGAAGAGAGAGATAATGCACACACAGACACACATGTATATAAGTTTACACACACACACAGACACACACGCACACACACACACACATATATATACATATACATATACATATATATGAATGTATGTATGTATATATGTATGTATGTATGTATGTATGTGTGTGTGCATATAAGCCCTTTAAACATGTTCGTATATATCTATACCTACATTTGTATCCATGAGAGAGACACATTCAGATGAAGAGCCTTACGACAAGCAGACAGCCCTACTAACACCACCCACAATCCTAAAAAAGACGTTAGTTACCGATTTACATAGCCATATGTGTGCGTGTTTGATCGTATGAACTACGAGATTTATATCCACTGGTAAAGTTAAGGCTAAAGAACTAGGAAGAGGATTAAATTACAAAAATTAAAGACAGCCACACACACACACACACACACACACACACACACACACACACACACACACACACACACACACACACACACACGAGTGTAATGGCCAAGCTAAGACGAAACCTCCCCAGGTGAATGGAGTAAAGCTTCTTAGCCCTTTCGATGGCTGACACACAAGGCATCGCGGGTTAAAGCGATATTTCGACCTCCTGACCCGCCCTTTCTGCCCAGGGACCCGAGGTAAGGCGGCTTGTGACGGAACCCAGAGTCGACATAAAGTGTCCCGTGCCTCGTGCAGTAAATGATTTTTTTTTAAACTGATGTCAGACCGTACATATACAAAATCCGCCGCACCTTCAACCTTTAACAAAACCGGACGATTATTTTTTTAAGCTGCCTACGTCAGCGTTTTTTTTTATTGTACACGAGGCACATTACACACAGCCGCTCAAACGTGAAAGTGTGCACACAAAAGGGCAACTATACGCATCGCATGTCACTTCGTATTTAATCTGCACCTTCGTCCTAAGTGACCAATGTTTACTTAAATGATGGATCAGCAGTTAAGGAGTCAGCGGTTCCAGATGAGGATTAGGGAGGGAGGGAGGGGGGGAGGGTAGCTTGGTTTATAAGGATTAGGGGGATTAGAGGGACGGAGTTCGTTTACACCAGAAGACGGGTTGGGGGGAGGGGGGTAGAGATAGAAGGAGAGACATAGTTTACCAGAAAGCCTAAACGAAAGCGAGAGGGCGAGTCGTTGCAGGAGAATGTGATAAACGGACTGAACTTAGACGACGACCTCAGACAATGCCTCAATCCATGCCTACGACCCCGCCCCCCTCTCCCTCCCCCCTCCCTCTCCCGCGACGCACCCCAGCGAGGCGAGGCGATGCTCTCGCCCTTGTCCACTCGGCGGGGGTGAGATGG